GATGCTGAAATTGCATGTTCGTCGGATGTTTGCCGTAAGAGATTCGATTCGTTTCTCTTTTTTTTTTTGCGATCGGGTATCAGCTCCGCCGGAAGTTGATTGTATCCCTCCCATCGAAAGCTCCCGATGTGTTCTTTTCAATGTAAACCAAGTAAAAACAACAGGCGTACGACGAATGCGTGACCGCGTCGAGAAACGTACGAACGAACGGATCTACGAGAACATCACGAGTTAAGATCCAGGGATTCGGATCCAATATGAAAGATTCCGATCCTATTCAAATACGCGGCTCTCTATGTGGAAGATGATGGCGTGTATATACGTACGTATGCTCACGCGCTCTGGCCGGATAGGTAGATTTTCAATATCCTACAACGAAGGAATATCGAACGGATCGCCTTATCTGACGACTTATCGTATATCCGAAACCCTCTTGCGTATCGACTTCCGGGGACTATACGAGACAACACGCGCCATCGTTGCGTTTAGCGCGAAGAATAAAATAATTCAGTTAACAACCACTGTTAGATTTACTGACTGAATCTCGTCTACATAGCGAACAAACTTTAAGCAGAAAAAGGAAAATGAGAGTATTTCTGTTTAACCCTTTGTGGGGTATACGTAGATTTCTATTTAAAGAAACGAAGTGGGTCTTCAGACCTCGAGAACACTCGACGAATAAAAAGTAAATAGGAAATTCGTTACTTTTATTAAAAATTTATGAAAGCAAAATTTGTAGAGAAATAGCGGAATTTGTAAAATATTTCAGATTTTACAGATTTGAAAGGCATTTTCGTCTACGTCCAAATATCGTACGCGAGCAAAAAAATAGTTAAATAAATCCCGTATCCGAATTATATCCATCACGGGGAACCGAACGGATCCAAATAAATCCCGAATGACTGGTGCTACGGTCCTGGACAGATCCTCCCGTTTTATCTGTGAAGGAGCTATATAGAGTCAGCCTGGAGCAGTGCCGTCTACAGGCTCGGCCCGGTACTACGTCAGTGCAGTCACCACTTTGCTCAAAAGCATATCGCACCCTATCCTGCGAAATTTCTCATTTCTGGACGTTGAAACTCGGGGCGTGCTTCGATACCGGTTAACCAGACTCGTAAGTACACGCAGAAACCTCTGTTTCGTTCGATTCCCGGGCGCGTTCCCGTCGAAACGTCTCGATTTGCATCCGGCTCGCGTTCGCGTCACGGGAGAGGAACGGGGAAAAAAAAGGCGGGACAAGCAGTTCTCGCGAACCTTGACCTTAGCCCGGGGCATTCGCGCGTCGTTGCAGTGTCACATTGTCCCCGGGCATCGGGACGATAAATTCGTGGTACGAAAAACGCGGCCGATGCGGTAGAATGCGCGAAAGAGGTCGATAACATCGCGCGCCCGCGCAATTCTTGCGTTTCTTCCGCGGACGTCGTGGGAAAAAGAAGCAGACGAAGAAAGCGGATCCGTGTCCGACGGGCCTGTTAACGTTTACGGTTGTGTGCCGACACGCACGAAAAGTCAGACGTGCGTGCCCACCACCCCCGTCCGCCTGAAACCCGAAACGAGAGGCCTGGTGCACGTTATTGTTTCGCTGTGCGGTGAGTGGGTTGCCCGGGAGGACGAATTTCGTGTTATCGATCAGCTGCTAGGGACACGCTCGCCGATGTATCCCTGTACGCACGGTCGCGTGCATCCGGTGCATCGGCCGTTGCACTTGCAGCATCGTGTCGTCCGGTACGGGATTTTCCGTGCAGCACGCTTGGAAATGTCGGCGAACGAGGCGACGAGACGTGCCCCCGCGCGAAACGCAGTAACGTCTGTTGCTCGGTGGTCGAAATAACAGGCGCTTCGAATTTCGTATTCGCTCGGGTACGCGTCGAGGAGAAGTTCGCCGTATCGTCTCCACCGACTATAGGCAGTGACGTAGCGTATAGTTCGTGACGCAGCGACGTCTTGAGATTCTTTCGCGAAGCAGTTCCGACGGAACGTCTCACGGTGCCGTACAGCCGTAAGTTTCCGTATCGTAGGTTAGTTCGCGACAGTTATCGCTGCAGCCTGAAGTTGCAGCGCGAGGGAATTCGGTAAGTCGGCAATGTCAAGAGACCAGAAACTTCCTCCGTGGAAGACTAATTGATACGCTGTATCTAGAACGGGCCGGGGAATATTCGAACAGTTTAATACGTTATAGACGTTCGAACATTACCACCGAAGCTTGAAAATCGTTGTAATATAAGTTTGACCTCTTGAAATAGTTACGAGGAATAGTTATCTTGAATAATTGTTAGAGATAACCTAAAATTATTTTTTAAACTCTATGCAACGTTTTGGAACGTTTTCTCAACGTAACTAAAAAAGTTAATTTTGTTATATTTAATTCACTGAGAACATTTTAAATCATTTATCTTGATTGCAGAGATGTTCTTTTTTTTTTTAGGGGAGAAGTGTCTCCCCGCCCCCAGAAAGATTGGAAACCACCGGTTTAGAACGTCGTTTGTCCCCCAGCTGTTCGTCTTTGTCTCGGGATAGTTAAAATATTTCATTCGTCAGAGGTTCTCGGCGCGGTTATTGCTTTTAAATTGAATCCTTAAGGAATTTCATTTTTCCCCGGTTTCCTCCTTCTTTCAATCGCCCGTGCCGCAGCCGCCTGTAACGACCGTCGCAAACTCCGAATTGGTCGCTGTTTTAATTAAAAGAGCATCGTGAAAAGTTCGCGAACAGGAAATTGGAATTGTTCGTCGAGGATAAAGAGCCTTCGGGAAAAGGATTCAGCCTCGAGAAGCTCCAGCAACCGATATCCTTGTTAGCGTTCATCCAACGCGTAATTCCACAAAATGGAAACCTAAATATATTACGGCAATAAAAAATTTTAAATTTGTTCCCAACGTTTCGTTTTTTGTCACGGGATTTTGAGACCTCGTGGAAAGTCGTTGCGGGTGAACGTGTTCGTAATTTATCGATTTTCATGTATTGCAGATTTTTCACAAGGGATTCGGTTTTAAGCGTCCATCTGACAGTCGATGTATCCGCGATTGGACCTATTATACGATCGAGTGTGCATTATAATGCGCCTCCCGTGCCCCGCGAATGCTCTTTTCACGATCGTAACGGTCGTTTCGTAAATACAATCGCGCCAGATGGCGGCACTGTAGCGGCGTGATTAGTTTCCTCTGGTAACGTTTGAAATTTCGTACTGGGAGAGTTTGGCCCGACAGCTCGTTTCTATTTGATTGTACAGCGTGTATATAAACGTCGCTTCCTGTATGCACGTTACTCGTTCTCTTTCGATCGATTGTTCCCGCGCGCGTCAGTGTTTCCAAGAGATACACACAGGTCAATGGATCTTGATGAATTACGATATCTCCTAGAAAAAATATTCACGAAACTATGCGATTCATTCTCCCGTCTCATTGTCTTACAAAGAAATATTTACAAACTTGAAAGAACGAAAGACCAAATTTCTTTTTGACATTAATGCCCAAAAAATTGTTTAATTTTTGTATGCGTAAAAAATCGTATTATATTTTAATATACATATTTTTGTTTTTATTGAAACACTTCTTTATTTCGCCAAAGTACTACCTGAACTTATATAAACGAATAAACAGTTCGATTTTCGCTATACACAAAATGCTACGACTCTCAAAAGAAAGTACGCGTTCCATCACATTTCGAAGTCTCTTTATCTGCCACAAACGACAGTTTCGCCATATGGATCGAGAGCTATTCGATATTCCAACGTTTCGTCATACTTCAGAACCGAGAATGCAATTGCAGAAGGAAAGGCTCGTCGACGTAAAATTTTTAACATCCATTCGGCCATCCAGCCCCGTTTCCTGTTTACGAGAAGTTGCCGAACATATATCGCTAGACTGGAAAGAGACCGAAAGAGATCGCGGGGGTCGATCGGTAGACAATCACGATAACACCCGCCATTTGTTATTCTGGACTTTATTACGCGTCACTCTAGCATTCCAGCTGCGTTGACTGGCCGGAAACTGATAGCCATTCCTCGAACCCCCCTAACGTGGTTTGTAAACTTACTGCTTTTAATCGTCGCCATCTTGATTATACGGTTACGTAATTTTTAATTGGACACCGTTCTACGATTTTCACCTTTTTTATTACACTGGATGTTGACAGTTGAAAGAATATCCGTATTTATTTTGTTCTTCGTAAAATATAGCCGTAAGCAATTTGGCCTCGATTCGTGACTGGTTAAACTGCTATACAGTTAATTTGGATTCCTGTAGTAATTGTGCACTGGCAAAGCAGTTCTATTTAACTTACTGAAAGCTCACGCTGCAGTTCTGATTTGTGCGCTAGTTCCTGTTTGAAATATACGCCACAAAATTACGCGTTTGAATTGGTATTCTACTCCAGCCACTCTTTCACGTTAAACGCAGCAATGCATTAAGGAAACGCCGCGCGGAGGAAAACAAAACGGTGTTTTGATGATGCCACCGTTGCGTGCTGTAATTCAATACCTAACCCCTGGCGTTCACAGAAATGGATTCTATTTTGGGAACGCAGCGCAGTCTCGTCGCGAACCGACAATAAAAAGAGTTCAGGAAGCTAAGAGAGACGGAAAGATGATTTTTGTTAGAACAGAATTTGTGTGGCATATTTATGTCCATATTTAGCGGACATTTAAAAATTAATTAATATTATGAATCAAAACTGACTTATTAATTCTTTGGTATAGGTTATGTTGTATGTTCCAGATTTGATTAAAAAGTTTTCCTCGCAAGTCTGTCTTTGATTTAAGATGGAAGATAATCGACTTTGTTAAGAGGATAAATGTAGAAGATAACTACCTTACCTTTTTTAAAGCGACACCTACAATGTAATGTAGATGCACATATGTACTGTTGTTTTGTTTTCGTGATTTAGTGCTTGTAATAAAGTCGAAGTGATAGGTGTACGTGTTAGAGAAAGAGTGTTCAGCAAAACTTAAAATTAATTATAACCTCGTTTGATGATAGATTTAAGTTGAATTTTTTTGTTTCCAGAAAGATCAACACGAGAAAGAGAGGACGGTGGGAGGAAGTTCGACGTACAATCCCTTTTCGGACGATCTCTACCTAGACGATCAGGACCCTTCGGAGGGTTCTGGTCGAGGTGGCAGCGAAGGTCACGACGACCTTGAAGCATCCGGTAGCGGCCTTGGCCCTGACGACGAGGACGGCGACGACGATCACGGTAAAATAATAGTTAAATAACAGTTAAATAGAGAACTTGTTGAATCAACTAAATTTACCGACTACGAATTGAAATACCGACGAAACCCGAGAATAGATAAAACACATCACACATGGGCGTGCTTCTCACTTTTCATCGATCTATTTTCGGGATAGCAGCCATTCAAAACAATGGACTGCAGGAAATTGCTCTACGATTGTATAATAATTTTTTAAGAGTCGTTTTAAAGAAAGTCTGGACCGCAAAGAGACATACGATATATTCAATGGGGGTGCATAAAACCCAGGACCGATATCGTTAACGCGTGTCAAAATTCGCGATGCATGACGGCCAGATTCGATTAAATGCGAAATGAAATTGCCACGATGACCCCTCAATTGATTTTATTTTTACGTCGCCCCGTCATTATCTCGTTTCGACTCCGTGATTCGCAGTTATTAAAATTTAATGAATCCAGCATTTCAATTATACGTACCGAGAATGGAATGGGTCTTTCTTTATGAGACTTTATGGAGCTATTTTTATTAATGAATTATTATAGACAGACTATTTTCGTATTTTATTAATTATTTCTCTGGTTTGTTTGTTGCAGATTTCAGTAACAATAATAGGATAGACCCGGTGCACAATAGGCCGACAGAGCCCGAGGCACCATACTCCGTCGATGAACCGAGTGTCAAAACTAAAGAACAGGTGATTGCGATTGAAAATCGGATTGTTTATAGAAAAATATTTCTCTACAAAGGAAAATGTTGTTCCTGGGAAATATTTTAATGGAAGATTCTAGAGGCCAAAATAAGACGAAAATCAAGAATACCAACTTGTTGATAGAGGCTTTGTTAAAAAGTTATTAACGTTTAAAGTTCCGCTCGTTCTGAATTTTTTTCTCGAAAATGCGCAAGATTTCGGCGATATGTCTATTCACCAAAAATTATTGTAATTGACCCCCGCAACCAAAAATAATTTTTCCAAAACGATTTCAAATTTTTTTTTTCCGTCGAAAAATTTCACATCTTCTCGAATTTTTGTCTCGAAACTGCGTAGGATTCCGAGGGTATGTGTAATGACCAAAAATGATTATAATTGATCCTCGCAACAGAAAATAATTTTTCCAAAACGTTTTGAAACTTTCGATTTTGTCGAAAAATTTGTGCACCTACGCGAATTTTTTTCTCGAAAATGAGCAAGATTTCGGGGATATGTCTATTCACCAAAAATTATTGTAATTGACCCCCGCAACCAAAAATAATTTTTTCAAAACGATTTGAAATTTTTTATTTTCTCGAAAAATTTGTGCACCTACTCGAATTTTTTTCTCGAAAGTGGATAGGATTTTGGAGGTATGTGTAATGACCAAAAATGATTGTAATTGACCCCCGCAACAGAAAATAATTTTTCCAGAACGATTTGAAATTTTCGAATTTAATTGTTAATAACTTTTTAACGAAGCCTCCATCAACGAATTGGTATTCCTGATTTTAGTCTTATTTTGGCCTCTAGAATCTCCCATTAAAATTTTTCCCTAGGGTGGTTGGAACACCCTGTATATTTAATTATGCCAAAGTCAACTGAAAGGATAGAATTCACTTTAGAATCTAGTCTAGACAATAGTGTGGTGAAAACTTACTATTGTACGTCGCAAAGACAACTTTCATTGATCCGTTTAACGGTGAAGAGTTGCACCACCCTTCTGCGCGAAGGGGAAACCCATCACGTCCACCGAAACGCGTGGACGTTGGGGCATGTTTATTAGATTTGTTTGAAAACACATGACCCAGCTAAGTAGCCGAATTAAACGGATTAAACGGATTAAACTGATTAAGCCGTGTCCCGTTGCAGACGATCGTCGAGACTGTAAACCGACCCGACATCGAGGTCGATGTAATCGTGCCATCAGGTGTCGAGGACGACCACTCGGACAACACCGACGAGATAGACGAAGTTTACATCATGAATCCGAAACACGAGGACCGCGCCAGCTCCTTCTTTGCTCAGCCAGGTGTGCTGGCAGGTGAGTTCTGTCAACTTTATTAATAATTTGCGAGGAAGAACGCTGGTCAACAAATTTTAAATAATAATTTTTATTCTTTTTTTTTTATTTGTTGTGTGCAGATTTCACGACGAATTTTGACGTCCATTATCATCTGGAACATATCTTGCAATGTTCTGCAGTCTAAAATTGCAAGGAAAAAATTCACATTGATTTTTAGTTATTTTAATACTAGCAGCTTTTTGAATGCAATATGGTCGATCTCGTCGTTTTCGACCCGAATAATCCATGTTGCGCAGCACTGAACAGAGAACGCTTTCAAATGTGAGATTTTCCGAGGTCCGAATTCCGAATTCCGAATACCGGCTCTGGGGATTACGTTATTTATTAACGTGTTCCGTTAGTATTAAGCCCCGACGTATAAGGGCAACACGCGAATCAACATTCTTCCTCGAGAACAGTATTTATTCACGAGGGTTCCACAACTCCTATGGAATTCTGGGTTAAGTTAACCGATCCAGCCCCCTTGTAATAAACGTGCTACATAATTAACGTCCTGAATAATGAATCACTTTTGCGCGCGAAGTTGCTTCTGGCGTTTCAAATTTTATGCCATTTTGGCTGTTCACGTAACGCTCTACGTAACACAGAATACACAATAATTGTACAGCAAATGGATCAAGCCACGTTACCATAAGTCCAATTTAAAAAATTAAAATCCTCGCAGAACTTCCTAAGGTCAACGAAAGGTCACATCTTTGATCACAATACGTCGTACCATGCAACGTTTGTTCAAAATATTATTCCATATCGTGCATAGATTTTTCGATATACAGGCTGTTCGGTATCTATATTAAAATTTTAATGAGAGTTTCTAGAGACCAAAATAAGGAGAAAATCAAGAATAGTAATTTGTTCATCGAGGCTTCGTTAAAAAGTTATCAACGTTCAAAGTTTCACCCGTAGAACGACAATCGAGAACCACTGTCGTGCGCACGCAAGTTTGTATGCTAATAACTATTTAACGAAGCCTCGATCAAGTAATTGCTATTCTTTATTTTCGTCTTATTTTGGTCTCTAGAATCTCCCGTTAAAATTTTTCTGTCTTGTCAAGGTCGTCGAATATCAACAATAACACCAAAATTTTCGTCATTATTAATTGCTCGTAAATTTTCAGCGGTGATCGGCGGCGCGGTGGTGGGGCTGCTGTGCGCGATCCTGGTGGTGATGTTCATCGTGTACAGGATGCGCAAGAAGGACGAGGGCTCGTACGCCCTCGACGAGCCGAGGAGATCACCGGCGGCGCAGGCGTTCCCGAAGCCGGGCGCGCCGCATCACAATCGAGAATTCTACGCTTGAGGCGACAAAGCCTAAACTGGCTTTGACACCGCCGAGTTTTGCCCCACGATGCCACGCCGAGAAAGACGATGTCCTTCGACCGAATTAAGCGCCACCGACGCCGACGACGCGACGCGACCGCGGAATCTCCCACGCGGGTCCCGCGAGACGTCTCCGTCGACCGGCCACAGGGAGATTCCCATCGCGGGGAACCACCGTCACCGATAACCTTCCGTCATCCTTCGATCGACGCGCCCCCTCCCTTTATTATTCTTCCTTTATCTTCAACACATTCGATAATTATTTGCACACCGTTTTTCTTCTAACAATCCTTCCATCGATGATGGAACTTTTCATCCGGATCCGTATCCGTCTCTCTCCCCTCCCCCGTCCCCGTAGAATCTAGCATATATTTGGCTCCCTTCCGTACACGATTATCGTTGCTGATCGAAGGAGGAGAAGGCGATGGGTGATAAACTGTCCCCATCGAGTCCTCGTCGGCAAGGTCGCGCCAATTCCAAATGCATTTACAGCGTATTCAGAGCGTATATGTATTTAGGCGTATGTATACGCCCACCTGCAAAACTACCCCGAATCCCCCTGTACAGGACTGAGAGCGCGAAAATTCGTGGGCGATAAACGCTGCTGGTATATCGTTAATCATTCTGCCCCGGTGGAAGGAGGGAAGGAAGAAGGATCGTTGCGCCACCGTGATTTCTCTACGACGCCAATCCCGCGAACCGCGGCCTCGTTTATCAGCGTTCCCTCCTGCTCCTATATCCTTTTCCAGCTTTCTCTTTCCTTTATCGTTTCTTCGTTCAACGGGCACGCCTAACCTAACCCCAGGCCCGACTCGTGGGTTGCGTCTCTTTTTTTTTAACACTTTGACCAGGTCGCTTGACCCGTCGACGCGTTTCCCCCCTTTTTCGAGGTTGATTCCGTGGAATCTCATAAACACTGCTTGAATTTTACGTGGCTCGTCGGCGAAACGACAAACGGAATGTAACGAAATTCTAATTTAAACGCGTTTGAAAGCCTCACATTTTGTAAAAGACGAGCGATCACTTTGGGAACTGCACTTCCCAAGGTCACAGTCCGTTGGTCTTTTAGACAGTTTTGCAGCGTATACGCGATCGACAGTTTGTTCGTATTCGAAAAAAAAGTAAATGTAAACGTTTTGAAGGGTTTCTCTTGGTCGACGACTACGCGCAAAAGAGGATAGGTAAAAATTTTTAGCTTAAGGTATTCTTAATTTTTTTAAAGATCATTGTTATTCCTAAGGTACGATGTAGCGTAATTCGTCGGGTGGATAGAATAATATCTTTCGAACGGTCGCAACTTTTGCTGTTTCCGGCGAACCCGAGACGATGTGGAGACACGTGTTCGGTGCCGGTGATCGGCAAAAGTTGCGAAAGATCAAAAGTTAGGCGTTCGAAAATCAACGGGATATTTACATTTTTGTATTTTAAATCACGTTGGATCGATTCTTTGTTGGCACAAATGTAATCGTAATGCTCCCGTAGCAAAATACTCTCATCGTTAAAAAATTATTTATTTCTAATTGTGCTAACGAGATAAACCTATTTATCTTCTTCCAACAATTATGCTTGAAATTTTGTGCTTCTGTCTACGTATTACTGATTTCAATCTGTTCGTTTTGTGTCTTTCGGTTAAGTACGTAGATAACCCGCGTTTTTAATCCATCCATACTTTAGATCAGTGTTTCCCAACATATTGCATTCGTCTTTTCTCTTTTATTCAACATTTTTCATAACTTGTTTAACTGTTGTGTTAGGGAGAGGAGGGCATCAAAAAGATCCGGGAAACACTGCTTTAGACGAAGGATAATATATATATAGGGGTTCTTGAAAATCCCTACATAATGTAAGGGCAGAACGTTTGTTTCGTCGATGAATTTTTGTATATTTCTAAAATTAGATATTCGCGCGTTTCGTTGTTACATTAGAAAAAAAACGAAGGAAAGAAATGAAATGCTGGCACGCGATAAGGGTTGAACCGGAGCCTCGAGGCGGAAGCGTGTTTGTCGAAAACGGTTGTGTCCCGATTGCCATGCACATAGTGGATAAAAACTCAACGTGCCATTTTAAGCACAGTAAGCAACATTACCCCGCGACAACGTGTCCCAGATATCGTTCCCTTCTTCCACCCTCTGGACTAAAGAACATCTTTGTAATCTTAAAAGAGAAAGGCTTCTTCTGCTGGTCGACAGAGATTCTATTTGCCATGAAAAACAAACAAAATACGTTCAAAGTTTCCCGCGCGCGCGCGCGCGCGTGCAGGCTCTCGTCCGACCCCCGCGCAAAGGGGAACCTGCGCACGCGCGTTCACGACACATACGTGCACACGGTTTTTCGCTCTGACAGCACGCGTATGCCATATTGAAAATAATAAGACGAGACAAAGAAACGAAGAGATATGAAAAGATTTAAAAAGAAAAAAAAAAAAAAAATTAATAAGACACGTACAAGTGTATATCTATTTGTTTCAAGATTTTCGTCCGCGATATTTATCCCACGGTCGATCAAGTATCGCGAGGTACGTTGTAATAATTTATTAACTTTTTCACGTAGGACCAAGCAATTCCCCTTTCTCCCCCCACCCCCCTCTCTCCTGGGTCCTTTCTTTTGCTTTTCCCCTCCGTTACTCTTCCGGTGATCTTAAGCGTCTTTGAATTTTTTTCAAGATTTTAACAAGCGTCTCGGTCACCTTCTCCCAGGTAGAACGCATTCTTAACCGTTTTATTCACGAAACTTTTATAGAAAGACTTTTTTATGTACGATGGGTCCTTCGTTTCGGAAGGACACCTTCAACGGTTATACCGATCGAGAGATGGGAATTGTTTTAATACAAAACAGCCCACGATTACTGGCACGAATGAAGTCGGGAAGGTTTTGTGATTCGAAATAGAAATCGCTCCAAACCGTTATGTAAAAGTTCTGATCTAAACCGTCTTTTTGTTTCGACCCACGGAATCTACTTGGCCCTATTCGTGCCATTGATTTTGGGCCACCATGTATATGCGAAGTTAATCGGTATCATAACGTTATCGTTATTCGAAATGTATACGCGTAGATTCGATTCTTAGTCGCGCCATCTACTAAAAAAAAAAAAGTATCATCGTTTCGTCGAATTCTCCAACCACTTTCGAACGATAAACACTCTGTAGAGTTTAGCACTATCTTTTAATACTCGTTGGATCGCGATATAAATTTACTTAAACTTCGGGCGTTCACATGACGAATAAATGCGAGGCACTGGAGGATTTCTAAACGTCGTAAATCTTGTATATATGATGTTATGCAGATATAATGTCTTATATATAATATTATGTCATTATCAATGTCCTGTGCAATAATAATATGAATTTTACGTACACGAATCGTTGCATTTATTATCACACGAAACAACCAACAAAATAAAGATACGTACTGCTTCGAATAATTTCTTCGTTGTCCGAACCGACGATCAATTTACGTGCGTTTTGACCTTAAATTCGAAGTTGCAAGATTTACAAGCGTATACTTCTAAATTTTATTTAAATTCGTTCACATATGTTAAAACGTGTTGGTTTTGATATATTAGATTTAGTGACGAGTCTAACCTCGTTATTGTATACATTGGCATAAAAAAACTTGACGACGAGTTGTACAAGAAGGGGTTAAAGAAGATTCTACCTGGGTCGCGGGAACACGGGACGCAAAATCCAGCAGAGTCCGATGTGTCGGAGTAAATTAAAATATATCATGCCGATACTGCCATATACTACGTAAGGAACACCAATTTCGTACGATAACCGTCGCGACACCACTTTATTAGATGCTCATCGCGTTTTTTTTTCCAATTTTTTTCCCTACAAATATTCGATTACAAACCGAACTTCGGAACGATCGTCGGACGTTACGGGCAAAGCGTTTAAACTCGATCGTCGTATTAAAATGCCAACGTCGCGCGAGGCGACGATCAACACGTTCAACGCTGAACCAATTAATATCTGGAAACCGACAAAACCAAACGACGCGAGAGACAAAAGTAATCGGCTGCCCATTCCTTCCACTTTTTAAGTTTTCCGTTATTAACCGGCTAAGTCGATCGCATCGTCCGCGACTAACGTGGCGTTCAACGTGTTAATCGTTTACAAATAACGAAGATTTGTATGTCGTGTATCGCCTCCCGCCACGTCGGTCTCTATTTTCAGGTACGAAAAAAACTTTATCGATCGACGCATTTTCGTAACATTTGTCGCTGCTTCTAAATCGATCTTATCGATTCGTAAAATGGCTCGACGCTATTTTATAAGCTTATTTATAACGCGTCTAGACGTATCGAGGATATTGTAACGATACGCGTAGTAATAAAAGTATAATTAAGTACATTGATAGGGTCGAATTGGAAGGAGAACCTGTTCAAACAGCTACTCGATGTACAGGTTATGTTGGATGACATGTTCGCGAATAAATATCGATACTTAGACGAATGATCTGAACGAATCGAAAGGGGTAAGGTACGGGTATCGAGAATACCCAGAAATATTGTGTATAGGGTAAATCAATTAGGGTGGAAAATCTGATTACTTTTATCCGAACGACTGTGACTTTGTTGCATTGCTCTTATTATTTATTTACCAAAAATCCCTTGTTTTCTGTTTGTCTGTTATTCTCTCTCAAAATTTCTATTATTATTTATAAATTCAATGATTAAGAAAGAACCCTGTCGCCTGATCGAACATTGTCAGAAATGTTTATGCTTTGCCTTTAACCCTAAAATCGTTTGTCCTCTCGCAATTGTTGCAAATATCGTAATTCGATTATTAATACTTTGCATAAATGTTTCTTGCAACTTTTCATTTGTTTGCTTACCGTTTACACCATCACTGTGCCAGATTTGAATTCTCCCGCGTCTTCGTTTCCAATTTACCGCCTCCATTCCTTGCGCCAATGAAAGCAAAAGAGGAACCTAGAAATCCAATCGTAATCCTTATTGTAATAATAATCGTACGCAACATAGACGGAAATTGTTTGTTAGATAGTAATTAATTTTCCGCGTGGCGATGCGGAGAGACGCAGAAATTTTCTTTTTACGCTGAAAAAAAATACCAAAGCGAAAGCCACGGAGAAACGTCCTCCGTTCGTGAACCAATATTCACCATAAAATTCAAAGAAAAACACTCTTTTTTTCTATGCATAAATTTAAATTCAATTCATCGTCAATAGTTTTGAAAATTTCATTTCACTTTGAGTAAAAAGAAAATAACTATAAAAAAAAAAAAGAAAGTAACGTTCACGGAACCGTGAAGACGTTTCTCGCAAAGGCCGCCGCTTATAAAATTACGTAAAATGAAGGAAAAAAGAAACACCCAAACGCCGTGTACGCTGCATCACCACGTGGCTCATTTAATACTCGAGAGGCGCTGTCTACGTTCTATGCGACAAGAAACAAAACATTAATTGTAATAAAATCATATTTTATAAGAGGATGTATTCCGTATGAACGCTATAGCAATGAGAAGTCTGTCTAATGCTAGACGAGAAAAACCCATAGGCCAGGTGGACGAATGAATAATAATTTTAAAAGTGAATACAATTAATATTTAATGATAACTATAATTAACAATGTTATTTTTTAAGTGTAAGTATTGTCTACCCCCCTGTCCTACCCGAGTCGTCCTGAGCTCCGTGAAATATATTACGTATGCGTGTATATATACATATATATATATATATAAATAAATATATATCGCGTCGTTGCACGCTTTACACGTACATACACGTATATGTATTTATATGAAGTTATACAATCGCCCGCCGTGGAGCATCGAACCGTGATCTTCGGTTCTTCGAATTTTATTTTTAATTTTTTTTTTTCTGCATATACGGGTATAACGAACTAACTGGTTAATGCTGGAAGTTCCTAGGATCCATACCAATCGATCGAAGATTACCCGATCGTGGATGTTTTCACGCGACTCCGTAGGTCCGGGAATCCCCAAGTTTATGTTAGATTTTCTCGAGCCCGACAGATCGAACGGACCGCGTTACTCCGTCGCGGGCGTTTACGTTAACGACACATTATTATTAACAGAAATTAATACTAATTGCACTATGTTAGTATGGTAACGAACAATACTGTATGTCGTCGCTCCTATTCTGTAAATAAAACACTGTACCGTGTAAGGAAAACCTGACCCGAGCGGGTGTTGTTTTTCTTTCGAACGCATCGCGAGGCTCGAGGATATGAAGAACGACGACGAATACTTGCGAGCTCTTCGCAGCACTTTATTAACTGCAAAAGTACATAGAAAATATCTTCTCTTTATAAAATCTTTAACATAGTATTCTATCGCGGAATGATCGAGCATTCCTAAAAGAACAATCTTAAGCAGGTATTCTAGATTAGAATCTTTGAAAAATCAAATTTCTTTTTATTTCGTTTTTATGAAAGTTAATACCCTGGATATTACACATATATATATATATATGTGTGAACATTAACCCTTTTGCAAATTGTATACACCTTTAATTTTATTTATCATTCATACTGGAGAAGAAATGATTTCTTGGGTTGCTCGTCTTAGATGAGCAGAACCGTGCGAAGGTTCAAAAACAAGGAGCTCGACTGAAACAATTGTATCTTCAACGATTTAAAATATTCTTACATGAAAAAAAGAACCTAAATAACCGACGTCTAGACTAGAATACCACCTTAAGAATAAAATCACTCTCTGGAAATCCTTCGCAACGTTTACAATAATAATATTCCGATTCCTTAAATATTTACAACAATAATACTCTGTAAAGGTCGTGGAAAGATATATATTCGTAATCTCTTTTTCATGATTCATAAATGTTACTACACTTACTATATATATTCTAAATCTTACGATGCTTAAAATTTGATTTCACGCCGCGAAAGGCAAGATCGTATACCCGATTGCTGAAAGTGAACGAGAAGGTCCAACCTATTCTACAACTGTTGGATGCTTGTTATAGCGAGCCATTCGTCGTTGTTGAACGTTTTCGACCATGTGCTTTGTGATCGTCTTCGGAGTAAGAAACTTATTGTAAAATAATTCTATAACTATCGATACATATAATATTTTGTCTTGTGTTTTTAAATGGCTCGTTACGATCATGCCAAATGTTGTTGATTAGAGTAGGACGTGCCTCGTTCTTAATCATTCTTACTGATTCGGTACCAACGTACGACAGGAGCTTACGCAGCTACTTAAAAATTCTATATAAAAAAGATTGTCAGGAAGAACTACTGGAGTATTAATAGCGTGGTACGGAGAACAGTAAGCGAAGTTCGATCAGGTTGCCTGTATTTCGTTGAAACCTTTACGAGTATATACAGCGAAGTGTAAATTTAGAAGGAGATCCGTGAAGGTAAATTGCACTACAAATTGCTTTTAAGAAACGGCTTCAGATATTTCTCGAAAGACACGTTCACGCTCTCCTGATTCAATGGGCTCTTCATTGCCTCGGCGAACAGTCGTTCGTAAACGTTGCCGTCGTACGCTCCTAACGCGGAGCTTAGGATCTCGTCGCGAATGTCGAAACCGTCGACGATGCCCACGGCGTTTGGACGAATTAATGCTAACAATTCTTCTAGTCGTCTCTGGAGCGCGGGGACATCTTCGTTGCTCAAGGAAGAAAACTGCGAAGAAACGACAAATCTTCATTAATTTTTCCATTAACAAGTGAAAAATAATCGGATGACGAAGTGTCTGAAATATTTTCTGGAGCATCCTGATAAAATTGAGTCTCCATTCTGAAGATACTCACCGTGTATGAAAAGACGTAAATTATGAAAGTTGAAGAAGATAGAAAGGAACCAGAAATTTTTTAGAGGTGATTTATATTTGATACTCACTTGAAGGAAGTCACCGAGTCGCTGCAATACCCAGTACACAGCATACAACTCGCAAAGATGTTGCAACACTTCACGCAACTCTTTGGACACTGAAACAAACTCTTTGACGGATTCAGCGAATCTCATCACTATGAACGCTCGACAATGAGCCTCCGCGCAGCGGGCTAACTCTATGCTAGTCTCGTTCCAAGCGTCCTCCGGCGACACTCCGCTGCGTATTCTGCGATCCATGTTTTCCGTCGCCAACCGGATCTTTCTGTGAAAAATACAAAATCACGCAATGAATAAAATTGCTACAAGTGATTGCAAGGTCGTCAAATGAAATTACCCCGCAGCAACTGATTGATGGGACTGGATAATACATGTCAGGTTGTTCTTCCACGGGCGCTGTTTGATCCCTTTAACGAGGTCTGTAAGGTACCGTATAGTCACTGGCAACGGCTGACCGCTGACAGCTTGTTTCCAGGCTTTGACTAAATATCTAGCCGTTTGTAACAGTAAAACAGTATTCTCCCCTTCGTAGGTACAAACTGCTGTGACTAAACCGTAAGTGGCTGGAAGATTGCTGGCGTCCATGTACCCGTGTCCACCGCAGGCCAGTCGTACTTGCTCTACTCCGGTAGCTGCATCAGACGATGCAACCGCTTTCAGGCAACACGACAGAGCATGCAACTGCAACATTGGATTCGTTAGAAAACAATTGAAAAAAAATCAATTAACGAAGCAGGTATAATTAAATACCTCGGGCAATCTGTCCAATTCACCCTGATCCAACTCTGCGGTGACGTTATTGTACATGTTCCAGATCCAATCCGCGGCCAGTCGAAACGCCAAGCACGCGGAGAGATTTGGGAAGATTTTGTATTGTTGCGTTACGTAATTCATAATTTGTGCTTCGGGCTCGCTGAAAGAAACGGCAAGATAAAATAAACGTGAATATTAAATGTTCATTAAATGAGACGGTAGTAGATATAAAAAATGAAAGTCAGTTCGATGGCCCCTGTCTTTATGCATGCGTTCGTGATTATAGTCGACGATGATGATGTTAATGAGCAAATGCTGATCAGGATCCATAAAAACAACAGAGACATTTTTTTTATCGCGCATTTTTTCGATGTAAAGTCGCCCGATATTCGAAAATGTTCTGTTCTAATTACTTACTCTAAATTTATTTGACATTGGCGTCTCACCGCGCTATATCTAGTTGCGATCGTGACTGCTTTCGATAAGTAACTAGCAATGTCGTAAACCAATACTACCCGAACGAACATCATTGTGCCGTACGTCAATTTATCGTTTAACGCTCTCACGTATGTTCCATCTTCTAGTACCTGTGTATAAAAATAAATATGTACATATACAGGGCGTTTGGCCACCCCTGGGGAAAATTTTAATGGGAGATTCTGGAGACCAAAATAAAATGAAAATCAAGAATAACTAATTTGTTGATTGAGGCTTCGTAAAAAATTATATTTAAAATTTTTAATCCTTCTGAAAAAATTATTTTCGGTTGCGGTGGTCGATTACAATCATTTTTGGTGAATACACATACCCTCGAAATCCTATCAATTTCCGAGAAAAAAATTCAGAAGGTGCCTGAATTTTTCGGCGAAAAAAATTTTTCAAATCGTTCTGAAAAAATTATTTTCGATTGCAGGGGTCGATTACAATCATTTTTGGTCATTACACATACCCCCAAAATCCTACGCGTTATCGAGAAAAAAATTCAGAAAGGTGCTGAAATTTTTCGACAAAATTACGAAATTTCGAATCGTTTTAAAAAAATTATTTTTAGTTGCAGGGGTCAATTACAATAATTTTTCGTGAATAGACATACCCCCGAAATCCTGCGCATTTTCGAGAAAAAAATTCTTTACCGAAAATCTAACGTGACGCCGGAAGTGGTTCCCCGAAATTTCATGCGTATGTTTAAAAAATCATAACTTCTGGACGAATTGAAGGATTTTAATGATTCATAATTCAAACTATGCGTATTAATAGAGCTCTAGAGACTTAATTGGATATAAGGTCTGTTCGTATACCTCGCATGTGGTGATTACTATCGTGCGCGCGCAGCTGTTCGCAGGTTGCCGTTCTACAGGCGTGACTTTAAACGTTAATAACTTTTTAACGAAGCCCCAATCAACAAATTAGTATTCTTGATTTTCGTCTTATTTTAGCCTCTAGAATCTCCTATTAAAATGTTTTCCTGGGGTGGCCGAACAGCCTGTATAGAATCATGATCGCCAACATGTTTCATCAATATTTTCATGGCGTATTTTCGTGTTTGTCATTTTAAAAAATAATTTTAAATCTCTAAAATGTTCACCATTAATAGACAAGTAGAAGAACATACAGAAATTCCGGTTTAATCGTTGAACAGTTTGCTTTCTTAGTAGTGTTTCGTGAAAGTGACTGTACTTTCTCTTTTACCTGAGAGTTTTTCATCAGCATGTTTTCACGAGGTATTCTGAAACTCTCGAACCCGAGAAAGCCGTTATTAGTCGCGTTCATTCCCAATTTCGTGCCAATTTCACCAATTTTAATGCCTACAAAATAGGTACAAAACATATGTAAATTTCTCCGTATTTAATCAACGAACGCAGCCTCTGATATTCACTTGGACGAATAAGAAAATTATTTACGTACCCTGTAAAGGTTCGTGCGTGTCTTCGTCCCTTAATTGCACGATAAAAGGATGAATCCCTCTGCACTCCCCTTTTGTGTATAATTGTGCAACGACCACCGCGTAATTTGCAGTCTGGCCCACTGAAGATTACAAATTAAAACGATTACAATAGACTGTAATAATTCTGTGCATCGCAATGTACTATATTCAGTGATTCTCTATACTTACAGCCACCTGGCCACCATTTGTACGACGTTAAAGTAGGACTATTCAATACAAATTCCTTCGTTCTTGGATCATAAGTAGCCGTCGTTTCTAAACCTCTGATGAACGTACCGTGACCAAGTTCAGTCTGCAACAAAGAAAACATCAATACTAAATTTAAACGTATTATTCTATGGTCAAAAATATTATTATACCTCACCTGAGCATATGTTCCAATAATATTACCAGACCAAGATCTGGTTATCCAGTATTCTTGCTGTTTCGTCGTTCCTTGTCCCATAATAGCTGGCAAAAACATTGCGTAATGTACCAGAAGTGGGTTTCCATCCTTCAAGATCGCAGACCCAAACATTCCTCCCAAAACATGCCTGGAAAAAAAGTATTTAACTAGACAATCTCTTGCTTCTGTGTAAATGGTTAATAGAATCAAGGGACTTACGTGAAAACATCCATTCCACCTTTTCCTGATTCTTGTAATTGTCGTACCTTCTGCAGAACCCTGCATGCTTTTCGCACTGCATCCTCGTACACCTCTTTGTGGCTCTTGTATTTCACTGGTGTTTTATCCTGTAGCTCAGGGTCGCTCAAAAAAAATTGTTCTGAAAGACATTAGTGAGAATATTGATAAAATACTAACACCAACAGACAGTTGAAATTATTTTTTTTTTTTACACGTGGTATACCCGAATTTCAAAGGTCAAGTGTAGTTAGTAGAAATCATCTTGTTAGAAAATGCTATTGTAAGTCGCTTGCGAACTAATCGACATTCTTTTGTATTTGACAGCCTGTACATACGGTGACCTTGGAACAGATTCAATGCCCCCAGTGTGTTACATATGTAGTAGTTACGAGAAAACAATTTTCATATAAAAAAGTGACGCGAGTAATGACGTACGAAAGTTTGAAATCTATTTGGACAAAATGCGTCAAAAATAATTTTGAATATTTGTTATACAGGGTGTCCGACCAACCATGGGAAAAATTTTAACGAGGGATTCCAGAGGCCAAAATAAGACGAAAATCAAGAATACCAATTTGTTATTAACAATTAAATTCAAAAATTTCAAATCGTTCTAAAAAAATTATTTTCGGTTTCGGGGGTCGATTACAATCATTTTTGGTTAATAGATATACCCCTGAAATCTTATCCCCTTTCGCGAAAAAAATTCGAGGTGTGAAATTTTTCGGCGGGGAAAAAAAAATTTCGAATCGTTCTGGAAAAATTATTTTCGGTTGCGGGGGTGAATTACAATCATTTTTTGTCATTACACATATCCCCGAATTCCGACGCACTTTCGAGAAAAAAATTCCTTACCGAAAATCTAATTAAATTTTTCGACGAAAAATAAAAATTTCAAATCGTTCTGAAAAAATTATTTTCGATTGCGGGGGTCGATTACAATCATTTTTGGTTAATAGACGTACCCCCGAAATCCTACCCATTTTCTAGAAAAAAATTTGAGAAGGTGTGCAATTTTTCGACGGGGAAAAAAAAATTTCAAATCGTTCTGAAAAAATTATTTTCGGTTTCGGGGGTCGATTACAATCATTTTTGGTGGATATACATACCCCCGAAATCCTGCGCATTTTCGAGAAAAAAATTCATTACGGATGGAACTTTAAACGTTAATAACTTTTTAACAAAGCCTCCATTAAGAAATTGGTATTCTTGATTTTCGTCTTATTTTGGCCTCTAAAATCCTCCATTAAAATTTTTCCCACGGTTGACCCCTACATCACAACATTAATTTTGTGCATAATATTTATAACATACTGGGTGTCATTTAGCTTATTACTTTCGGTTTCGATCACGCATGGCTACGATTTTTACGCGTCGAGAGTTCGAATTGACCGTCTGAATGCCGAAGGTCATTGTAGAAATACGTTTGAACAGTGACCGAGCACCGCCATAGCGTTTTTCCCGTTTCTTGTCGAAAAAATGTCGAATCAACGCCACCGAGTGCATTGTCCGATCAAATTTAATTTTTGTTAAACGTAACAAAGGCCTCCGTCTATTACGATTTGACAAGCACGATCGCGAATAGCTATATAAAGAAAACTATTGTCAATTGAGCCTATTGGGCCAATACGCCTGGTACTTTTCAACGCGAAACAGGCGTGGCCATGCTTAATTTGTTGGACAGTGGGAATCAGATAAATACATACACGTCGTATAAAAACGTGCTCTCAATAACGTACAAATTTACATTGTTTTTTTATCGTTATTCGTAAAATTATTGTCACGCAGAGAATTATTCATAATCTTATCGAAAAAATCGCGTAGAATAATAAATTTAATCGTGATTGTGTATTGTCCTTGTCACGCGTAATCTTTGGACTCGTGTCGAGTGAAAGAATTACATCATCGGTGTGACTCAATGAAAAATGCGTCTTGGTCGTTTATCTTCTTTGCTTAAATTTTATTTCAGGTAGTATTACTTTTTTTTTAATGCACGAACTTCGATGGGATAATGTTTTGTTTGGGACCAGATGCACGGCCATTCGTGTCGTCGAAGAGATTTCCGTTCGACCTGTTGCGGAAACAGCGCGTCAACAATGTGGACGTAACACGAGATGCTTATAAATGTCGTGTCAATCAAAACCAGAAAGAGATTAGCAGGATTACAAAAAACTACGTGCAAATCGTGATTTGAATCGTAACGTTAACTAGCACGTAAATTATGTGCATCATATAGTTTTTTTAATTAGCATGTACCCTTTTTGCGTCTCTATTTGTAAATTAATTAAACAGTATATCATGATGGCTTTAACGTTAATCAAAATAACGTTCTTATATCGAAACAATATTCATTTCCATGCAAATAACGCGTATAAAAAATTAATGGATCAATTATTAAATGCAAATAATAACAGAAATTTTATATAATTATTTACAGGAAACGATACATAGACGATTAATACCGTTACGCAGATCGATCAAAAAAATCTAGACAGATTCGTAATCTAAGATGCACTCATATACGTACACATATTTGATCAAATTCAAAATAGATCGCATACATATTCCTACTCGTATTAAATTTATCATCAGAAGTATTTATAATCTTTCACTGTTAACGAGATCATTTTTCTAAACTCTTGTTTGAAAATCGACCGTAAGGTTATTAAATACTGCGCCATTTTTATGGATAATATTATTATTATCATTTCTGAAAAATCATTAAAAGCTAATCTTTCTATCGAACACGTGCACCATAATCTTATCTGGATAAAGAATACAACGTTACCTTACAATTCTGAAAAATGACAAATTATCAATTTCGTACGGAAATAAATTTTCAAATCACGAAAATTAAATAACGCTACGACGACCGTACGGATCTAACTCTTTGGATCGATGCAATTTTTCCGACACTTGGGCTGTGTAGTACTTCCGGTATAGAAAGTTCAATAGAAATATCAACATTTATTCGTGTACGGTATATCGTAGTTTTTCATTCGAACGCGTTGTAATTTTGTTTGAAAATGATAGGTATAGGTGATATCTAACGTATTTAGATACGATCGCAGTGTGACAGCTGTCCGTGCTATCGCCAACACGTTCAAATTTGCTCAATAAATCATACAGACGGCATTCTCGAGTATTTTCTATGACGTCTGTCAATATCCATTAGGAATTTACTTCCGCCAAGCGCGTTGATTCACACGTTTCTCAAAGTGAATTATTTCCCAGACAAATGAGTCGTTACGAACCCAATAATCGTAAGCTAATTTATTAAACTACTTACGGTAATACAGAAACGTTATGATTTCGGCATAAATACCAGAGTTTGTTTTCTAAATGAACGTATAAAACCTCCGTATTTCTGTAATGCGTTATTACAAATTCAGTACTGTACGCAATGCATACCATTATACCACGAATAAACGATTAAATCTTCGTAATTAATTGATCCGTCGTGCAATTTTACTTACGAACGATATTCGTTGATCTCTTTGTAACCTATGCGTAAGTAGTTTCCGAGTTTTACATAACATACTTGTAAACGATACCGACAAACAGAATGGATATTGTTAATGAATCGTGAAAGAATACTACAAATCTAGATAAATGTGTAAATCTATTCGATATACTATATCGAATGAATTTATAATTATTGATAATGTGAGTAGCGTTGAGTTTCGTGGAACGTTTGCACGGACTTGCATCGATTAATAATTTTCAAATGAAAATCAACGCGGGCCCTCGAGGACAGTGAAAATACCCTCCACGACGCTCGGGGATCGTTCGATCGATATTTTGGACAAGGGATCATCTCATGACACCGCCCGCAAAATCCAACTGCATCGTAAAGCGAGTTTCTATTAGATGAGAGTCGCGAGATTTTAAGTCCGACCGTTTCAAGTACCTCGGTCGCGACGTTGCTGCGTCTTCTCCGGGCTGCCATCCAGTAAATGAGTTAATTCCGTGGGATTGAACGTGCATCTCTCCCGTTCGCGCAGCAGGTCTTTGTTTACGGTCATTTTATCTCGTTGCATCGCCGACGAATAACTGTTACACACTGACCACACGGAAATCTATCACACAATGCTACGCATCTGCCAGCACCAGTCACTAATCACCGACTCGGACACGAGCGTTTTTAACACTGCCCGTACGTCACTTTTTTTGTGATCGATACCACGCTATCAGAGCAGATGAAGCGTGCAGATAGACCTACCGAGCAATGGGGATCTTTGCCCGAGCATCAAGACCGCAGAATTTACACACCATTTCCTCCTGTCACTTCCAACGTTAACGATGCGATAGTGACACGTTGTAGCGACATAGATACCGCGAACGAAGTATGCGACGTTCTATAACCCGTTCTCATAAATTGCAACCGTTCGCTTGGCGGGAAATTCTAACCTCGTGCAGCGATTTTTCGATCTCTTTTTCTTTTCACGGCGCACCGAAAAACATACTAAATACACTATATTTTTGGTATCAGTCGTTGACAATATCTTTGACTGAAAAATTATAATAATGTTGTATCGCCTTTTGATCAGAACTCGTTTAAAAATTTATCACCGTCGACTAGCAATTATAAATACAACAATGCTGCAATGGAACAAAATTATTTTAAAATCAATAATTAGAATTTAATCGTTCTGATAGTATTGTTGAAATAACCACCTATTTTCGTTACTTCCGGCAAGTATCGATAAACAGGAAATGTAGCTTCCACCATCTTGTTCTTCTTTACCAAGGAGGACTTGTAGACTCCGTCATGAGGTACGGGCCATCTGAAGATTTTCTGTTATATTTTGACAGTATTATATCGAACTTAATTTACGTCAGTTGCACTATCGAACAAAGTATTTTAATTACTATAAACATGGATTGTTTCATTAAAAATACAGTATATTTCAATCTTTGTGTCGATAAGTTGTTGTCGGCTGACCACATGGTTTTGTATTCGTGTCCACGGTCTTTTCGTGTATTATTTAACGCTTAATGGATCACAGCTAAATTTCAGTGTACACGTCGAACAAATTATACATAAATAATATTTCAAAACGATAGAAAACATCTCGTGCTGATAAGTATGTTCTCATAACATAACCTCATTCTGTTACAGTTCTTTGAAGTTACAAAAGAGGCTGGCCGCCTCTGTTATGCGATGTGGGAGAAAAAAGGTGTGGTTGGATCCAAACGAAATCAATGAAATCGCGAATACGAATTCCAGTAAGTTTTCAGGTTAAAAAATGTATTCTCGTTATCTGTTTTGTTTTCCTCCTGTGTGTACAAGTCTTATTTTCTTTAAGGGCAAAGTATTAGGAAGTTAATCAAGGACGGTCTTATCATTAAGAAACCTGTAGCTGTCCACTCTAGAGCACGTGTTCGTAAAAACACAGAAGCTAGACGCAAGGGACGTCATTGTGGTTTCGGTAAAAGGAAAGGTACAGCCAATGCTCGTACCCCACAAAAGGTAAATAAAAATTTTTAATTGACAATAATATAACAAATACCAAATTTAGGTGAATATTTTCAAAACCTTGTATGAATTCTAGGATCTATGGATTCAAAGAATGAGAGTTCTTCGTCGACTCTTGAAAAAGTACCGCGAGACAAAAAAAATCGACAGACATTTGTACCATTCTCTGTACATGAAAGCCAAGGGTAACGTGTTCAAAAACAAGAGAGTTCTGATGGAATTCATTCACAAAAAGAAGGCTGAGAAGGCCAGAGCAGAGATGCTTTCGGACCAAGCCGAGGCGCGTCGTACTAAAGTTAGGGAGGCGCGTAAACGTAGAGCAGAACGTATTGCTATGAAGAAACAGGAATTATTGCAATCTTACCAGCGCGAGGACGAAGCAGCGGCTGCGCAGAAAAAGTGATTTAACAGCCGTACGAATTATTGTATAAATAAAACATAAAAAAACAAACTTGCCCTCGTTATAATATTGCTTAACGTTAGACACGCACGAAATATATAATTCGCTATAAAGGTGGAGCGAGTTCGTTTAATTTCGATTTCGAAACATGGAAGAGTTTGTATTTTATTTGGTTAAAAAACAATCTCGTAAAAATGGAATAATTAACATAAATTTATCGTTAGAGTATGAACTTATTTTTCAATTTCAGATTATGTATGATAACAAATCGATCTAACATACTTTGATTCATTTCATATTTTGTTCATTTATTTACATAAATCGAATACATGCATATGCTTTTATTTTTCATTATTATTATTACAATCGTGAAGGATTTTGAAATAGTCACATTTACGATGGAACAATTGAGTTTCATTCAATGCAATCGTACGGAAATCTCGTCTCACGTTGAAACTTTCTAAACAAAGTTAACACATTCTTTTTTTAAATGGACTTGCACGAAAGTACATGAAGTGTACTTTCTATAGTAATCTTTTACGAAGTGCTAAAATAATGCGTACAAGATTGGAATTTATTTTAATAATTTTTGCATTCAAGGCTTTTATATATAGTAAAATCTGTAAATTGTAATTGAATCAAATTGTTCGTTTCCAAAATTAATTTATAGTCGTACTTGATCGTGCCTGTAGATGGAAGCATCGTCGCCATCAAGAATGTCGATAGAACATGGTTGATACTTAAAAACTGAATAAAAGTGAACGAACATTATTCTTTCTCAACGCACAGTGTTAGTGAATTTATTACAGAATTAAAGGTACTTGTCTCGCATATATGAAGTACTTCGCACAAAAAAAAGCTGTATTACGGTTTTCATTGAACATAAGGTGCTCATAGTAGGTTAGAAAATGGAAATTTCAAGTATACGACATTTACCAATCAAGTTGAAATATTCAAACATAAACATTGTATCGTTTAAAAGAAAATCGTTCGTAATATCTCGTAAATATTCCTATCCGTATGGAATGATTTCTATGCATTGACAATAAATTCGATTTGATAATAAACATTGCTTTCATAGCGTATTCCGTTAAACTTTGAATTATACGATACTATATATAATATTTATTTATCGTTTAAAGTATACAATTAAATTTTTCTATTGTACGGTCATCGACGTTTCCACCAATTATGCTTGCGGCATATATGCACTGTTAGAATCATAAAAATCATTTCTTCGTTTACAATATATCAACAATTGCATCATCATTAGTCACGATTGCATAAAAGCTTATAACAGTGATATCGTTGTCAATTCGAAAAGAAACTTTTACAGAGAATTGTAGTTGACATGAAATTTAAAAAAAAGTACCATATACGTTTAGGATACTTTATAAAATCATTAAAATTTACGTCGAAAGCTTCAGATCGCGTACTAGTACACTTAGATTCTGTTAAGAAGATGTTCGTGTAATAGTAGTACGAATAAGTAGTTTATCGCACGCATTGTCGCATCCGAGAGAAGGTATTTGAATTTCTAAAGTTGCATTGGTGTTCCCAGCTGGACGCTACGTATGCCCCTGACTGAAAACTGATACAGTGATGATGGACCAGGAGGAACATGTCCGTAAATATTTGTACATTTCAAATTAATACCAGAATTTTTTATTCTGTTCCTTTCCTCTTGTAAGATTATTTACCTTATTACTTAATACTTCTTAAAATCTAATTAAACTATTTTTTTCTTCTTACATATACGTATATATTGTTTTTCGTTGCATGTAATACGATCAATTAAAAATTAATTAGAAAATGGTTCGTTTCGCAACATTGCATCGCTAATCTCCAGCTGGAACATTATCTTTAATTTGTCCCTTATATTTTAACCCTTTGAATGCAGTGAACACACATATATATATATATATATTTAGTAAAGATTGTTGCTGCTGCCTACAAACACATTTTTATACATGCATATAAATTATATATATATTGACAAATCGATGTATTCATTTATCAATAATGAATGAATTAATAGGACCGGTATATGTAAAATAAAATCATTTCTCAACTAACGTAGAAAGTAAATTGTTGTATTAAACGGATTAATTATTTTCTTTCGTCGTTCGAGTTGGAAGAGTCGCGTGTCAATACAAAATGAAAAGTATAATCGTACATAATATTTATAAAAAAGAGTAACAATTTCCACAGCATTACCACGCTTCTTTGCATTCAAAGGGTTAATATATTTAATGCTTGGCATTTTATCTATTGTTTAAAGAGATGATAATTTAACGATTCGATGCAGGTTCAATTATTTCATGTAAACATCTTCATGCATTTGAAATAGAGTAAGAGAAATAAAAAAACAACAGGCCTTTATATTTGCAATATGTACACAATGGTTTCATACCTCGTAGTCGTTTCTTTAATACTCTTGTAAATTACGACACTTTTCAGTTACGTATAAGACAATTTTCATAGGATTTGATCGCACCGGTTTACTAAAGCATAATAATTTTGTTTTAGTTAACGGACAAGGATCAACAAAAGTTCTTCACACGTTCCGCGGCAAGGCATCTTCGTCGTAAGCGTTTACACGATGCTCGTAAAGCTGAGAAACAACAAGTCTGTTCGTTTCATGATATGAACGTTAAGCCCAATCAGGAGTTGATTATTGAGAAAGATACAGATCGGTTGGAAGTTGTAACAAAGTCGAAGGCTCGCAGGTTACGGAAAAGAAATGAAACGCAGGTGTTTGAGAACTGTTGTTCATTTTGCAAATCGAATTGCATAAATTCGTCGCCGGTTATCGAATCTGTTGCCAACGAAGATATCGTTACTGAGAAGGATACGGAGGACATAAAAACGATAACGAAGTCGAAAGCTCGCAGATTACGGAAAAAGTATAGAACCAAATTGGCGCTGGACGCGTGTTCTTTTATTTGCGGTAGCGATTCCCCTGCCCCCCCGAATCTGTTTAAGTTCTTTAAAACAGCGCAGTACAATTCGGGTTGTTGCGGCGAGCACGATACAGACGATGGTAACAATCTCAAACAGAACTACAAATTGGAGAAGGCTGTCGAAGCACAAGTCTGTCATGCACAGTACGAAAAGGAATTAGAGCAGACGGAATTGACACAGGAGGGCGTACAGTCGCAAGAAACAAACGCTAATCGTTCGGAATTGTCTTGTCTGTCCAGATCGCCTGGGCTATTTAAATTTGAAAATGAAGTACAAATTTATCACGAGAAACACGATAAAAGCACAAAGGATCTAGTACTCGCGTCCGAATTGAAACAAAAGATAGCGGAAACAATTCAGGCGAAAATTAATCATACGAAAGAAGATACGAAATTGCAAAAACAAGAAACAAATCAGTTTAACGATTTGAAAGACTTATGCGATCTGCAAGAAGTAGCAAAGCTTGTGGATCTTGTAAAATATGATCAGAATACCGAATCGTGTAACGTACAATGCAACAAAGAGAATAATTGGGGATTCGAGTCTCCCAGTTTTAAATTAAAGGAAGATATTAACACGTTGTTACAACCTGAAACGGTACCGACATTATTCTCCGACGACGAATTACTTGAAAACGTGAAAAACATACAATTCAGCGATTCTTCCAAAATTAACCTGACAAATACCGAAGTATTCCTCGATAATACTGAATCAGAAGATCGAAGTTCTGTTTCCGTTTTAAAAACAGATACGATTACCAATTCTGTTAAGGACCATTCAGAAACTGATACCGCAATCACACAGAATTGCTTGCCCGATAAGAACACTTTCCAAGAAGAAGGTGCGACTACTGAAGTGGAGGAATCTTCTGTGCAAAATATCGATAGATTGTCAAATCCTTTTTCGTTAGGTATGTATTTAAAAAAATTCGTATTTAGTTGTATCTTATTTTTCTAATTTCTATAAATTTGTATTTACTGGTTTCCGTAGAAAACACGGAAGTCGATAAGTCAGGAATTGTACCGACTAAAATGGCTGACAACAAAATAAATATTCCCGAAAAATCGAGGGAGACAATAAAAGCTGAACGTGAAGCGAAGAAGGCTGCCAAGGCGCTTGCTAAATTAAAAGGCAAGACTTCTGAGGTACAGAATAAAAACACTACGAACAATAAATCCACGGAGCCTGATATTATTCAGAGCAGCGAGACAGCGGGAAGAACAGTCGTTGAAGACGTTAAAGACCAACGGAAAACTGCGGTAACGAATAAAGTCTCGAATACGCGTATAAATAACGAACCATCGGAAACGAACGATGGCGGGAAAAGTAAAGCGGAATTACGGGCCGAAAGGAGAGCAAAACAGGAGGCGCAAAGAGCAGCCAAGCAGCAGCACTTGTTAGAGAAGAATAAAGTTAATAAAGAAACCGATAAGAATACACGCGTAACGGAGGTCGCAGCTGCAGTGGAAGATGTGAAGAAAATTGTTACCCCCAAAAAGACTGTTCAGAAAGATAACATCCACGAGATAAATCTCTTCAAACACTTGTACCACGAAAGAGAGAAAGCCATTGTTGATATTCCTCCGGTGAATTCGAAGATACATCCGGAAATAATAAGACTGGGCGCCCAGTACGCGAGAAAAGTGATCGTTGGCAGCAATGCAAGATGCGTTGCGCTTTTAGTTGCCGTGAAGAAGCTCATTCAAGACTTTGAACGCCCGTCGCAGGCTGATTTCATCAGGGGTCTTGAGGCAAATTTGCAAGAGTCCATTGCATACTTGCATCACTGCAGACCGTTAGCCGTTTCGATGCAGAACGCGTTAAGGCATTTGAAACGGCAGATGACGCAATTGTCCTCTGCGTTGACAGACGTCGATGTAAGTAACGCTTTTGAACTAGAGCTCCGGGGTAAAAATAGATTTTCACACGTGCTCCATGTTTCAGGCGAAGATTAAATTAAGTAGTGCAATCGATACTTACATTCTTGAACAAATAGAACTTGCCGATAAGGCAATATCGATAACCATTCAGACAAAGATATCCAACGGAGACGTTATTCTGACGTATGGCTAGTAAGTGTCCCATGCATCCTTAATATAAACATGATCACGCAGGGGGGCGAGAGGCGTGCTTTTGTACATGTCACGAATTTGCAACAGAATTGATATTGCTTTTAGTTCGTCTTTGATTCATAAAATCCTATTAGATGCACACATAGCTGAGAAACAGTTCCGTGTCGTTGTCGTCGATGGGAGGCCATGCTTAGAGGGAAAGGAACAACTTAGGCGTTTGACTAAGCACGGTATCGAATGCTCCTATATTTTGATCAATGCTTTGAGTTACGTAATGCCAGAAGTAAGTATCGAGATTGGTAGTTCCCTTTATTTGCTTAATGATTGCACGGCGATTAAATTGTTCATAATTGTCGAACAGGTAAGCAAAGTTTTCCTTGGTGCTCACGCGATATTGGCGAACGGCGCGGTGATGTCGAGAGTGGGCACCGCCCAAGTTGCCCTAATGGCGAAAGCCTTCAATATTCCGGTTTTAGTAGCCTGCGAGACCCACAAGTCTTGCGAACGTGTACAAACGGATTCTATCGTTTATAATGAATTAGGTGAGCAGAACGAACTCGTGTCATCTATTGCAGTGGTTCTCAACCTGAGGTATGCAGACCACAAGTGGACTGTAAATAGATATCTGATATAAAAATATAAAGTTTTATCTTTCCAATGAAAAAAAGAAGAGGTTTAGAACCACTGCTCTGTCACTTGTTGTTAATTTCACGCATTAAATTTTATTCAATACTTTTAGGCGATGCGAATGAGCTTGCGCAAGGCCACGGGCCAAACGCGAAAAAATCCTTGATCGTCAATTGGAAGACTAGGAAGTCGTTGAATCTTTTAAATATTACATACGACGTTACACCGGCTGACTTAGTGACGGCTGTCGTTACGGAATTAGCGATATTACCGTGCACTAGCGTCCCTGTGATCTTACGAATTAAACCATCCGAGATTTAAAATCTTACCACGCTGAAACGTATTCCTTATGTTGTAACATTCAAGAGCGAATAAAATATGCCGTGATAAACGTACTCCCCCAAAGTTTTGAAATTGTACTTCAGAACCGTGAGGATATGTATCGTGTTTTTTCCTTTTATTTATGTCTAAAGAAATCGATACATGTATTATTATTATTATTATATATTACGTTACGTATTTCGAAATAAACACTTGAAAAGTATATCGTACATGCTTGTGATATTTTCGAGTTTTACAGCTCCGTAAAAATAATTCGCACGTAGGTTCCACAGTTTTTACGAGCGTGAGTAGAATTTACGAGTTCGGCGGAAATATTTCCTCAAAGGTATCATTATTATTAATCTAATATTTTATAACTGTTAGGTAAGTTACAAATGTAAGGATTAAATATCTCATGATAGATCACGTCATTGGAAATGAGCAAAAAGTCGTTTTATTATACATATATAGGTTTTCGATGGAGCAAATATACGATGTTGTAGCAGATGTAGGCAATTACAAAGATTTCGTGCCGTTTTGTAAAAAATCTGATGTTATATCGAAAAACGATGACATTCTCAAAGCTAATTTAATAATAGGATTTCCACCTATACATGAAAGCTACACTTCGAAAGTAACAATGTTACGGCCACGTTTAGTAAAGGCTGAGTCCACAGACGGCAAATTATTCAATCATTTAAACACGTTGTAGTTTTTCAATCCAGGATTAAAAAATAATGTACAAACATGCGTCATTGATTTTTCATTATCATTTGAATTTAAATCGATTATCCATTCGCGTTTATCGAACTTATTTTTTAATGAAATTGTAAGGCAAATATACCATGTTCAGTTTTATTGCATAAGTTGTTCCATAACAGAGATGTAAAGTGTCTCTGAGTTGTTAAATATAAAAGTTGTTCCAAAATAGAGATGTAAAAAGTCTCTGAGTTGTTAAATATAAAAGTTGTTCCAAAACAGAGATGTAAAGTGTCTCTGAGTTGTTAAATATAAAAGTTGTTCCAAAACAGAGATGTAAAGTGTCTCTGAGTTGTTAAATATAAAAGTTGTTCCAAAACAGAGATGTAAAGTGTCTCTGAGTTGTTAAATATAAAATTTGTTCCAAAACAGAGATGTAAAGTGTCTCTGAGTTGTTAAATATAAAAGTTGTTCAGTTTAGGTGTTGTTCCCAAATATGAGATTTTCTTGGTCTTTAAAAAGACCGGTTTGTCCCTTGGCCGCTGCTCGTGAACCATCTTCTTGGCCATCTTCGATTTTGATTGAATGGAAATCAATTAAATTCTTCATCTCGATACGGTCCGTCTTGCTTGGTGGTTGGGAGATAACTCCCCGGCGAAGGCCTCAGGGGGCTCTTATAGCCAAGGAGCACGGACCATTACGAGTGACCGAGCGACATCTGTGCAATTTTGATAGACGAATTGTTCACGAATTGTTCCCCAACATAAAATTAAAGAATCATTATTTCAATAATGGAATACTTATACGTATATATAAAGCATTTCTACATATTCTCCATCGAAACACGCGTTGTTTGCAACTTGAAACATTAAGATCCTTCAATCCGTTCAAAAGTTCTAAATGTTTTAAACACACGCATGAAATTTCAAGCGAACATTTCTGCATCTTTAAAACATTATAACTTCTGAACGGATTGAAGGATCTTAATGTTTCAAGTTGCAAACAACGCGTATTTTGATGGAGAATATGTAGAAATTGAATATTGAACAACTCAGAGACTGAACATCTCTGTTATGGAACAACTTATGCAATAAAACTGAACATGGTATATTTGCCTTACAATTTCATTAAAAAATAACTTCGATAAATCAATGACGCATGTTTCAGCCTTTACTAAACGTGGCCGTATCATTGTTACTTTCGAAGTGTAGCTTTCATGTATAGGTGGAGATCCTATTACTAAATTAGCTTTGAGAATGTCATCGTTTTTCGATATAACATCAGATTTTTTACATAAAAGCACGAAATCTTTGTAATTGCCTACATCTGTTACAACATCGTAAATTTGCTCCATCGAAAACCTATATATGTATAATAAAACGACTTTTTGCTCATTTCCAATTACGTGATCTATCATGAGATATTTAATCCTTACATTTATAACTTACACTGTTATATAACGTTTTTTTGTAATATAAGTTTTCAGTATTCGCAGTGTATATCATAATATTCTGGGAAAAATTTTAATGGGAGATTCTGGTGGCCAAAATGAGACGAATATCAGGAATACCAATTTGTTGATTGAAGCTTCGTTAAAAAGATATTAACGTTTAACGTTTGCTTGCACGCGATAGTGGTTCTCACTCAGCGTGAGAAACTCTACTTAGTGACGTATCGACAGCTTTACAGTTTTCTGAGCGGGAACCACTATCGCGCGTGCGCAGTTGTTCGTAGATTGTCCTTCTACAGACGGAACTTTAAACGTTAATAACTTTTTAACAAAACCTCCATCAACAAAATGCTATTCTTGATTTTCGTCTTATTTTAATTTACAGAATCCCCCATTAAAATTTTTCCCAGGGTTAACACCCTGTATTAACTATCGATATTTCTTCACTTTTATCCTACACCGGGAATTTTAATTTTAATCTGTACCGGATTTGGTATTTACAAGTAAAGGTTATGAATTCTGATCAAACTTTTAATCCTAGAACTAAAATAAGTCATTATCGCAAATGATTGCAACAGGTAGAAAATAAATTCTTCGTTCCTGGTCTAACCTAGATATCTCTATTTTACGTGTACGTAGTATAGTGTTTAGCATACAAATGTATGAGCACGTACACGTGGATACGTTTAGTCTCAGTTACACGTTAAAATTTTTAGCTTGAAAATTATGATCTATAGTCTATAATCTATACTGTGTCTACTCAATGTTATAGAAATCAGTAATACTGATTCGGTGTTGTAAATCGACTTTTTTATGGAATTCTCGAGAACCCGGTTGCATCGTTTTTAATCGTTTATTTGTTTACTACACGTAACGAAGAATGTAATAATTCTAACCAAAATGTAATCTTCACGTTAGTGTAATCACTAAAATGAATCCAGAGTGTTTGTTGAAACAGATTCGTATATATTTCTTAACCTCAATTAGATGAGAAATAAAAAATGTACAAATTATTATTTCCACAAAAAACTAGTAGAACACGTTGCGGTACATCGGTTATATCTTTCTCAACACAAGTAAACATTCGTAATGTACTGAGCACTTACTTGAATTATGATCGTACCACTATTGACAATATTCTTCAGACACAAAAAGATATTTACACAATATCCGACAAACAGCTTATTACGAATTGCAAACTCCTACAGGTATGTACAGTTTCGTTATTTACGAAAATTCGAAACTCGATATTCTATACTTTACACGCTAATTCATTTATTTTCCATTTATTAGGAATTAAAAGTACAAGTGAATGAAACAACATATTTGCCAAAATGTCTGAAGCTCGGCTCCCCAATTATTAAGAATAGAATTTTATTGCTTGAAGAAATAGGCGTTAAAAACATTAATTTAAAATATATCTACAAGTATGATATATTTATAGTTTTAAGAAACGTCGAGGATATTCCTCGACAGGATACACTGGTGCTGCGATCAACGATTTATAATTATTATGCATTTCAGTTTTCCGCGTACGATACAAAAGTCTATAAAAACGTTTAAAAGGATTCATAATATTTTGCCAGACGAAGATGTTCTAATGAACATTTTTCCAGTTATTGGAATTGATCAGGAAGAATATAATAAGAGCATGGTGAAGCGTTTGACGCTGACGTGTGATTATTATTTAAATTTAATGATGTATTATAAATCACATTATTTGAAAATAAAGAGCAGGAGCTCTTCAACTATCGGAGGCTGCGGTCTGCGGAAATTCGTAAGCTTTAAACAAATGGCCAAGCTGGTAAACATTTTACGAAATGATTTAGAGATCGATAACACGTTTGTGAGTATAATTAGTTTTTGGATAGAAACGGAGAAAATGAGGTACAAAGTAATATGGATATAATTTTATTTGCTTGACAGTTGCAGAAACATCCGTACTTATTAAACCTGTGCCCGGACAGGTTAAATGAGTTGATAGCTGCACTCAAGGATGTTACAGTACATGATGTGCATGTAAATCAAATAATAAAACTGTATCCTCGCATCTTACGCTCCAAAGAAGATAATGTCGAAGACTTATTAGCACTTTTAGCAGAAAGAAATATTAGCACCAATTCGTTAGCCTCCTTGTCCGTTTTAAAGATGAGAAAAGATGTGTTTCTTCAAAGGTATCACAGTTTGAAAAATACTCCAGAACTTAGTGTATGGATTCGGTATCCAACTGTGCTAAATTTGATTCTACAGTATAATATGGTCATGAATAGATTAGACTATTTACGTTGCTTGGATTGTTCACAGAATATAACTATCCATGTAATTCTGTCTCGGAAGAAATACTTCATGAAGTAAGGATGTTAGATAATGTGGTATGAACATGGGCATTTTATACAGGGTGCTCGGCCAACCCTGGGAAAAATTTTAATGGGGGATTCTAGAGGCCAAAATAAAACGAAAATCAAGAATACCAATTTGTTGATGGAGGATTCGTTAAAAAGTTATTAACAATTAAATTCAAAAGTTTCAAATCGTTTCAAAAAAATTGTTTTCAGTTGCGGGGGTCGATTACAATCATTTTTGGTGAACAGACGTACCCCCGAAATCCTATCCATTTTCGAGAAAAAAATTCGTGATAGGTGGTGAAATTTTGTCGGCGAAAAAAAAATTTCAATCAAAGTTTGACCGAACACCCTGTATAATAGTGAAAAGTAAACACTTTTATTTAAGGTAATAATATCTGTTTCAGATTCTTAAATGGCTATATTCATATTAAGACTAGGAGGAATTATTTACGGTATCTAATACATAAAGAATTAGGTGTTAATAACGATTATTTAATAAGGTATTTAACAAGGCATCCTTATTGGAAACATATTTCGCTGTCATGTATAGAAAAAACACTGCAATATTTAATGATGCGTTATTCGATAAGAGACATTTGCGAAAATATTCATATTATACTTTATCCGCGGTAAGAACACATGTATATAACATAAAATATAGCGTACGGTAAGTTCTCAATTTACATGGTTCGTTCATTTTCGAGTCTTTCACGTAAGTTGAATATCGTTCAACGTTACGCATTTGTCACGGTTTGATCTATTTTTTTTCCAAAATTCAATCAATGTATAATATTGCTAAAAACGTAGTCAAAATATATAAGTATTTCTGTCTGAAAAATAAAATCATAGAAAAACAAATTTTCTAACTTGAGGACTTGCTGTATGTTATGAGAAATATTGAAAATTCTCAGTAAGTTTTATATAAGATTTGTTTTGAGCGCAGTGATGCCGTTGCCAAAACACTGCAATCGTTGTATGACGAACACAAGTCGGAGAGTGAATATAACTCGAGCCAGCATCTGTCGTTGTGTCTGTATAAGTTGGAGAAACACCATCATTTCACTGGCGACGGCATTTGGGAAGTAATGTATCACGTTGAAGATTCAATTCATAGCTTATGCGATTTCAAGAACGAAAACGATATCGATATCGACGATATCATTGGAAATGTGTATACTAATACTTTAACAGCATCAAACTCAGTCTATTAATGTAATATATTTGAAATATAGATTATATGTAATGTATAAGGTTTTATCAATTTTTGTCGATTTATTCCAAATCATTTTTGTATACAAATTAAACATTGTTGTACAATATAATGATCGTGTTATCAGCTTCTTTCTTTTAAGGCAATTAAAGAGACACTGTTTATATAAGATGTATGAATACCGTCGAATCAACGATTATATACTTTTTATTTTTACTCTTAACTTCTTCAGGGACATTTTGGAGTCTATTTATTAATGACAGTAATTATAATTATATAACAACGTCCACATATGTGGCCAAGGGCGTGAAGTATATTCCGATGCAACTAATTACAAACGTCGCGATGAAAAAAAATAACGGAAGAATATACAAACATTTAATATATTTTATTACTAATTTATAATAATTAGCGAATGTTTCACATCCTGTATGTATATCGTAGAATCCATATAACATTATACAACACAACAACGTCCGAATTTAACTCGACATTGTCTAATCTTTGATTCGAACAAACGAAAAAGAAAAAAAAAAAAATACAAAAATGGCGACTTACATGGCGTCGTCTAAGCTACGTTTTTTCAAGGCACTCGGAATGCTCCCATTCGATCAATTCGCTATAATATCAATTCCGATTAATATAAATGGTTTTATTTCGTTTATCCCTAAAGTATTTGGTACTTCTTACTTGTACATGTTTGTTATAAAAACATTACTAAACATTATCAACGCTTACTCTAAACTTATCATTGAAATTCTGTTTTTTAGATTACTTCTGAAAATGTATTGCGCCCATTCTCTGGAAGTACATGGTGCAATTTCTGGATGAAAAAAGACGAGAAGAAAATGGAAGAGGATGAAAAGCGACGAGTCGAAAAAAGATTAAAAGAAAAAGGAAGAGGATGATGAGCTTTCGAAATCGTAGTACTGCAATTTGATTTCCATAATACGGCCATGCTGTAAATAGAAAAAAAGTCTGAAAAGGATCGCCGAAATTTCTTATGTACAATGAACGCGTGCCTCCAATTGTAAATAATAATAAAAAAAAAAAAAGGAAATTAAAATAGTCGAAAATTAAGTTGATGTTTAATTGAAAATCTTTCAGAAACTATTCGTACCGCCGATCAAATGGCACAAAGCAGTAATGATATGTTTTTCTTATAGTCTATATTTATGTGTATTTCCAGAGCTCGTTTCTCTTTTGTGTGTTGCTACAGATACATGGCTGGATCAAAATTAATTACGCAAGAAAGAAAGGGTGATTGAACAGCTGCATATAAACACATTGTTATTTATTTCGTGCTACGTTTGGTAATTGTCACGCGATGTAAAAGTATTTAACCTTAAAAGGAGGAAAAGAAGACGCCATTTATAGAAGAGAAATAAAAGAGAAAAAAAATATATATTGGGCAAATGGCAAGAAAACGAAAAAACAACATGCAGCCTAACGTGTTCGTCACCACCTCCTGAGCGTCATATTTAAACGGTAAATTTGATCCTCGAACAACGAACACAAATTTATCGTAAATTAACATCTATTTACGTTCCTTTCGGAAATTCATCTATAAACTAGAATCTATTTACAAATTTTTCTTAATATCATTGAAATTTTTATTCGTCGTTCGAAAATAAAATTCGTTCAATTTTGTTCGATGTTTCTCTAAATAAACGAAGTGTAAACCGTCGTCCATTGACACAGGTATGTGAAATATTATATTAAAAATATTCGATTGGTTTTTGTGAACTTAAGTTTAACGTGCATATCTTTATCGTTTAAAGTTTTAGTAGTGAATACTTTCGCGAGCCACTATATCAACGAATCCACTAGCAGACTTTGAACAAAACTCTCTTTGGATTTCCCTCTTTTTCACTCGTTTACACAACACGAATCGTAATTTATTTATGCATTGATCGAACGTAATAGGGATTGTAGTCCTCGGTGGTTAAGTTGATTTCGATCCGACTATAATCGATGATTTTTATCGAACCTAACCCTCTATAACCTAAATGATATTTGTCTGAAAGAAACAATTATAAAACAGGGCACAATCTTCCAACTGTATTCCTCTCGACGCGCAAAATTGCATAACTAATGTTGTTATAGATTGAATTGATATATACAGTAATGTACGGTTTACTCTCTTAAGATTTGGGACCTAACTGTGATATAGTACGTCACGACAAAAGGATGCCGCTATGATGAAAACGTAATCATACAATATACAAAATTTATTTTTCTAAAAATGGTACTACTATATTCTTTGGATACTTTCGATCAAAACGAATCCAAACACGCCATAAATCAAATCAAATTGCTTTTGATCTCTTTCCTTTTCTGCTCGATCTTTCGTCGAGATCGAGAAGCCCGAATGGAAAAGTTGACCGTGCATAACTGTACCGGTAAAACAGAAATCGAATAAAATTTCGAAACCGTAAATAACGCGTATATACATGATTTCAGATGCACCGAAGAGGTTATAAAGGGTCAACTGCGTTACTGCACCGTTTAATTACATAATCAAAGAACAGTTTATATACAAGACTCGACGATTCCCCGGACGCTCCCGACCCAAAACGAAAATGAAACTTCCGAACAAGAGTCAAGTTCTTCTCAGACTCCCTTGCGAGTAAGGGGCGGGGTGTGGTCTTCTAGAACAAGTCTAGAACGGAGGTTTCGAGTCAGTTCAGAAAAGGAGGCAGCTGCACGTAGTTCTGTTGGCTCGTCGGCTCGCTCTTCACCATCACTTGATCCTTCATGCCTTGGCGGCCTTGCGGCGAGTGCATGCTGTACTCTTGCTTCTGGTCCTGTTGCTGTTGTTGCTGTTGCTGTTGCGCGTAGTCGGGCTGCTCGTGCTGGTACTTGTCCGTGGGACTCAAACCGCTCACGTAGTCCAGCTGTTTGTTCTGTTGGTGGTCCTCCTCGGACATGGAGTTCGCTAGGTGGGTGGGAGGCGAATGGGCGGTTACCATCGTTTGGTAATCGTTGCGCGTCAGAGGTGGCGGCGGACTGTTGCTGGCGTTCATGTAGTCCTGGTGGACGCGCATCGTGTTCCCCGAAGGCGTGGAGAACAGGGACGCATCGTGCTGCGGCAGCATCGTCGCGTACGAGTATGCCGAACCGTTGTTGCTCGGTCCGCCGAAAGAGGTCGAGTAGGGGGAGTTAGAGGGGCTCAGTAGATTCAGGTGGGGCGCCAGGTCGTACGCCGGTGAATATGCCCATGCATCGGGTGGGGCGGTCGCCGTCGTAGGAGACGCGAACGGGTTCAGCGTGTTGTTCAGCGACGTGAAAGATCCTGTAGAAAAGTTTCAATTTTATATTCAACACGTTGACTGCCATAACAATCTTTCCTATATAAGAGCACCTTCTTGATACTTTTCAAAATTATAATGTAATCAATGGAAATTTTATAACTAAAATTATTATTCGTTTCGATCGTTGCGTGGCGCCATCTCCCGTACTCGCCACCAGAGGGCTACGCTCTTAATTCTTTCATAAGCGACCGACTACCAAATATCCAGTCGTCTAAGACAAGACTTGCTAGAAAGCCATTACCAATGAGTCCACTGCCAGGCTCGAGACGAAACATTTTCCCTTTTTATCTTCCTACGATCTTTCTCGTTTTCCTTGAAAAAAAAAGCAAAATTACCTGACAGACCGGGACTCGCCGATCCAGCAGCCATGTAACCGGCGGTCTTTCGCGGTGGTTCCCGTTTTCGCCACTTCGCTCGCCGATTTTGGAACCAGACTTGCACTCTGGACTCCGACAAGGCCAGCTTTAGGGCGAGTTCCTCGCGCGCGAACACGTCCGGGTACGGAGCTCGCTCGAACGCCTTTTCCAGCTCGTCCAACTGATACGCCGTGAACGTCGTTCTGGAATTTAACATTGCGAATTTATTATGTGGAACGTGTTCGAACATTTGTCCAGCGACGCTCGTAATTAGTGGGTTATTGTAATTCCCCCTTCTGACTAATTTCGACAAGAATTCGAAACATGTGGCTGCATGGAGGTACTCGGTTATCGGTAAGGCAGCATATGGTCGATAATTCAGACCAGCAAAGGGTTATAATTATTTTCATAATTCGTTTCAGATTAATGAATTATATTGATTTCTCGTATAAATACCTGGTTTTCTTCTTCTTTATTCCGTTGTTGTCAGTCTTCTTCTTGGAGTCTTTTTTAGCTGGCTGTGCCTCGCTACTGACTGCAAAATAAATTACGATCGACGTTTCTTTTAATTATTCGAACAGCGTTCGTAATAAGAATTACATACTGTTATATCATTACCACATAAAAATATGATAACAATCTAAAAATCGTAATTTCTTATTCCTCGGCGAAAAGAGAATGAATCGTTAGTAACCTGGCGCAAGAGTGTTCATCGGATCCTCGGGCTTCCTCTTCAGCGGATTCCCAAGTTGCAGGCCCTGTTGCAGCGTCGTCGAGGTCGGCGTCGCGGCGGTGGACGTCGAGGTGGTGACGTCCTGGGTCTGAGGGAGCGGCGCGTACATCCCAGCCAGCTCCAGCTCCTTGAGCTCCTTCTGTTGTTGCTGTTGCTGTTGCAGGTGATGATGAGAGGTCTGATGGTGAGGCGGAGGACTATTGGAGGAGTCCAGTTTGTGAAGATGTCCTCCCGTGGGCATCAGGTCCCCAGCGTGGTGGCCACCGTGCAGACCAAGCATCACCTGAATGCTGTGGACGCCCGTACCCCCACGGCCACCGAAGTCTGAGAAGATCGGATCGTCGAAAGGACCTCCGTCCATCGTTCCCGACGCGACGACGCAACGATCAGGATTCGACAGAATTGTTAAGTCTTCTAGCGCCTCGATTTCAATATTCACGGCACGATCTTAATCCTATATTCGCTGCTAGTCGCTAACGTGTATTCTTTGATTGCAGGTCTAACAAAGTCTGGGATCTCTGCTGATTGCTGTGTCAAATTAATGGTATCTTCCTGGTAAGTGTATTCTTCCTTATTGGAGTCACCTGTTGCGTCGATTAATTATACAATAACAGTTCCAGGCTAACCAAATTGCTCTTGGTCAACGATCACTTATCTTCTTGCGCCTCCAAGCGTGTTCTCAACGTTACGGGGCTGGGAGTCATCTATTGAGTCAATTACTTGCCTTCAATAACTAACGATTGAAGTCTAAATCCCAGCTGAGTATTCTATCAGGTGGTAATGGCAATCAACAACCAGTTGATGGTCTTCCTTTTCCCCCAGGTGTACCAGAGTCACTTTACGGGTCCACAACTCGTCGCTGAGGACCAGAAGACACACACGAGCACCGGTACTCAAGAATAGCTTGCTCCAAATGTCTTCCGTCGGGTGGTAATCGTAATCATCAACCAATTGATGGACTTCCTCTGTCCCCAGGTGTAATCTTCCTCGGTGCTGCTGTACCAGAGTCACTTGACGCGTCCACAACTCGTCGCTGAGGACCAGAAGACACAAACGAGCACCGGTCCTCGAGAACAGCTTGCTCCAAATGTCCAAATCAACGACCAGTCGATGGTCTCTCTCTGTCACCAGGCGTATACGTCTTACTGTACCGTAGTCACCTGTTGCGTCGATCGATCTAAATGAACCAGCGCGGCAACAGGTACCATCGACGAGCTTGGTCTTTGATTTCGCCGGGAACGGTGGTTTTGAAGTCGTTGGTCCGGGCTCGTTAAAATGTCGCGTCGTCCGGCTCGAATTATGCAAAAAAAGCGCGTTGCCACGGCGCGCCGCGGCTGATCGCGTTAACGCGTCCTCCGTAATGGAATCCGGACCAATTGCGATCAATTGTTGCCCGGGTTATGATTAATTTTGATTAGTTTTAAGCGGAGTTAACTAAGTGAACCTAGAGCCGGCGGCGAGAACGTCTGAACGCGAAACGGAGATAGTGCTGCGTCGGTCTCTGTGGCGTCCAGAAGGGAAACCCAGGACCTTGGAGGACCGCGCGACTTGGAATGGTATCGGGTTCACTCCTCTCGTCGGGGAACGGTTTCTGTCGCGCGGCGTTTATATCGCGAAGCAAGCCCGTCCTATCCGGGACACTCTCGCACTACCGACGATCCGTTCCGACTCTGGCTAATCAGCCGACACTCACACAGGCTTATATTTTCAACGGGTTGCCGGCCAGGCCGCCCCCACACATGGAAGCCAGCCAATCCTGCGGCACCTACTGGCCTCCGGTCTTCGAGAGGACGGCCCGGTCGGCATGCGGGCGCGGTGCGGCTTGGCCTACGTTTTCTTCCTCTTTTTCTCCCTTTCCGTCACACGCCGTGCGTCTCTCTCGCTCGTACTGCCACCCCCTGCGACCACCATTCTTCCCTTTCGCGCCTTCTTTCTTCCCTTTCTCTGTCCCTCGAACTTTTTTGCTCTTACCGTCTCGGTAACGGTGGCTGTTGCTCCGCCATTTGCCCCCACCCCCCTACCTCTCCGCGAGCCTCTCTGGAGAACGTCCAGCGTGCACCGCCGGGGCTCGCGGAGAGGGGCACATGTGGGAATCGGAGCGTCCGGCTTCGCTCACGATCGACGTTATGGGAAAATTCTGGGCCCCGTGGACTATGGACCTCTACCGTTCGCGAACTTTGAACCCTTTCGCGCTACTCTTCGAGACCCCTCGCGTCAGACTTTTACAACTTCCCGCCATTTTTCTTCCCTTCTTCGAAACATACTTCTGTACAAACGTTAACGAAATCCGAGTCTCTTACCGTGTTCAGGCGTCTCAAAATGGCGGAGTAGACCATCTTATATTTTCGATCTTCGTTGTTGTTAAATCCACGGCGGGAGATTCAAAGCACTCCATTTCGACACTGACACTCGCACGAACATATTCGAGCTTGAGACTTCGTCTCGAGGAGGCCTTGAACTCGTCACGGTGCACTACGGTGTTTCGAACTCGAACAGGCGAGAGTTTCGCGAGCGTATCACCTGGCCCCCTTCGAGGATCGTCGCGAGGAAGGACGCGAAAGGTGAGGGCACCTACACTTTCCAAGAGATCCATGTCCGTTGACCGGCAGCGTGGCACTGAGCTCTTAAGCGCAGGCTCAATGAAACCAGCAATCGCCAGGAATTGCCTCGAATTGGCCCAATCAAACTACCCCCATTCCGTGTGTACACGCGTATATTAACTGCTAATTTCATCGGCGGTAATTAGCGCGCGCCTGTCACGCGGTGATTTAATTGCGGTTCGCGGTTACGTTTCTTCCTCCTCGTCCCCTCGTCTGCCCCCCCGGTTCCGCTCCTGGGGGGCTGCACGGCGGGACCAAAGTTCTCGCGGCCTTCCTCCTCGTTTCGTTAATAAGTTTGTTTACGAACTGCCTCTGCATCGTTGCAGCCGATCTCCGACGATCGAGAATCAAGCCACGCGGCCACCTGACTTGTTTCGACTCTTTAGAATCGGAAGAACGTGTTTTTGGGGCTGGAGAATAGATTCTATGTTAACCCTTAAATGGATTGTCAATTTGGGGTCCTGTCGATGAGATGGGAAAAGGAAAGGAGAGTGCTTGCGAGAGGAACAGTCCCTCTAGCGGCGACTACGGGAGGCAATGGACCCCGCATGCTTAAGGTTAATTCTTACCAAATTGGTAAACGGAAAGCTACTGCCCTTTAAAGCATTTAATTCGTGGCAGTTTTTATTTCAATGTCATTTGAAGGTCATGGTGTATCAGGTGGTTGAATTCGTCTCGATGAAATTAAAAATACCTAGATCCATTTAAAAATATAAGTGACCTTAATTTTGTATCGAAAATCAGTTTGGTTTTTAAATTTAAGCAATTGCAATTTATTGGCGGTGAAATATCGATTAACTTTGATGGGGAACATTTTTTCGTCAGACCATCGGAAGGGGCTGAAAAATCGTGGGGACTAATTCGTGCCTCGCCCTGTAAACACGTTCATTTCAAGACAATAGGTGTTTACCTGCGTACATATTATAACCTAAATCGCGTACTATCTTATTGGCGTAATTTACAGTTATTCTTAACATGTTAGATGCACAATTGTTTGTGCAAGTCGAAGCTATTTGCGTTTCGATATTTTGGGTTAGGGTTGACGTCCTTGTTTGCTCAGCTCTCATTCTCGAGCAGGTTGCAGCGTCGAGCCGCAAGAGGGCGCCCCGGCGATCAATTTTCGGTTCCATCGGTACCGGCGTGCCGCGATTAATTTCCAATTCGGTCGATGCGGGCGGAGGCGTCCAGGATATCCACGGGCGCAGGAGGCATCCGTCCGGGAGGATGACGGCGCAGCGCAAGAGCGAGAAGTCGGTAACTTAACTGGCCTAAATGGGTTTAACTGGATGTGATTTTGCTGGCGAACCACTAAATTGAACGAATACGAACTAAACTGAACTCAACTAAGCTAATCATATCACATTACTAGCGTTATTAGCCGAGAGACGATATAAGTGAAGGTCCGGTGGTGCCGGGCTGCAGTAACGGGTCGCCTCCTGCACTGACCCTCCGGGACGACTTTCTTTTCGACCCCTTTTTAGATTTTCCAACCCTCCCGTCGGGTCGCGTCCCGACCGTCCGCCATTGTTCCGTACGCGTTCCCGCGACGTTGTCGTTCCCCGTTCGATCGCGGTTTTTGGAAAGATCGGGTACGTTGCACGGGTCAGTTATCGCCGCGAGTCCGCCGCGGAACATTCCTCGGGAAACGGAAGTGCACCGCGGCGACGACGGCCGATTCTGGCCGAAGATCCAGTTCCGGGTGTCGAAAGTGACAGCTCCGACCGTGCTGGCGGGAAATTCGAAACGCGACGCGCGACGCCTCGAGGAATATCGGTTTTCAGTGCGCGGCGTTCCTTCGTACGTCGCTCCGTCTGCGATTCGCGGATCCTCCACGTTGCTTCCGGTCGACGCGAGCATCGTTTTCGTACGCTTGCGATTGGTGGTGGATCTTGCAACGTTATGATCGCGACACAAATTCTCTCGAACGTTTTGAAAGTGTAAATTTCGAGTCAACGAATGTGCAGTTTAGATAAATTAAAGAAAATTTAAAAAATACATTTTCTATGGAAACTTGAAATTCGTAAAAATTGAAGCGTTTCAAAATCACCGTACGGAGTGAAAAAGTGTGTCATGATTATGTTTGTATCGTGCATAGAGTTTCAATGTATTTTTTTATTAAGAATCGAAGAAAACCGGAATTTATTGTTTAGTTTTATCTTTTCGACTGCTTTTGGTATGTTTATGGAACCCCCCTCCAATTGATCTATAACAAAGACAGAGTGAAGAGCGTCGCGGAGAGGGGACATCGTGGACGAAGAAAAGAGAAGGCAAAATAATAATTACCTCCCCCACATGGTTGTTCGTGGTGGGGGAGACCCGGAGGAAAGATAAGAACGCAACGGACACGATACGCTCTGCTCCCACTACCTCGACGAGGAGGACAGAAGGAGTCTTTGGGCTCCACCTCTTCCCCCTCCGACACCGTTGTCCTTCAATAGCGGAGAACTACGCTCCGAATTCACTTACGCCTGTTTTCTCCCCAAACGGATCGCCGCCTCCATCTGTCGCCGCTCGAAAATCAATTTCAAACCGAGTAGCTTCCCACAATCCCGAAATCCCAAAATCATCCACTCGAGGGTTACTAACAGAACTTGGACAGGTATTTCCAATCGTGAACGTAACATCGTTGCTAGTTGCAAATTGCAAACATAACCTCCACGATCCACGATTCTATTTTTAATTGTATTTATAATTTCTACAGTCAAGAGTTAATCAAGATGTTAATTTCTGTATGCGAACAGTCTAACAGATCTAAGACCTTCTCTCAATTTTAGTATCTTTCCATCATTTTTTTGAACACTACTACAGAAATCTTTAGAAATAGCTTAGTGTCGTTCTCAAGTCTTAAATGTAACTTCTACTAGTCACAGCTTCGATCGAGCTATTTCTTCGTTTACTGCTTTTACTAATCTAGTTTATATTTTTGTACAATTTTTAATTCTCACGATCATAGGTGTATTTCGAAAAATTATTACGAAAGTTAGGAAGATACTTGGAATTATAGCTCCTCGAATGTTCCCAAAATGTTACACATAACCTCCATAGTCAGCCACTCTAACCTAACTATCCAAGGGTCATCTCCAATTATAAACATAACCTCTATCAAAGTGGGCCATTGTCTCAACTGGGCTTCCAAAGTATCATTCCTAATTGCACACCCAACAGAAGATACCTAGAATCCAATAAAAAATATAATCCTGTAACTCCATTCCTTTCTCAAACATTTGCTAGACAATTTATCCACAAAATTGTAACATTTTTCAATGAAAAGTATTCGGTACAAATTCAGTACAATTTAAATCGTATAACTATACGGGGTTCACAAACCTATCCTAAAGATCCGCCATATTGTTTACTACGCCTATCGTCGCTATGTAATGCTGCAAAACGGTTTAAAAAAAAACAGAGATAAAAAATAACCGTGTTTCAAATCATTATAGTCCTTAACTTAGAGAGACCACTTTGGTCCGACGATAAAAATGGAGTACGGGTCAAAAAATTGACCCACCTAGGTCGCTGGATTATTAAAACGTTCCATGGAAATTTTGTATGGAAGCTCGAGTAAAAATTACGTTCGGAACAGAGAAGAGCGTTCATGAGAGGAACATATTTAGATCGAAAGATAGAGGCAAGGGGGTGAGAGGGGGGGATTACGCTTTTAGGGTTTCTTTCCTTTTGCACGCAAGCTCTTTATTTTACGTCGTAGGTATGCCGACCGGATAGTATTGCCGTGTGCCCGCAGTGCACGCTAGCGGGGTCCGACCAATTGAGCCTGTTAACGTCAATTGGACTGAATTAGTTCAATTGAACGTAATTGCGCGAAGGCGACAGGGAACCTCCGTTATACGCCGGCCATACTCGCGTTCCTCTCTTCGCGCAGATATCGCCGGCGAACGCATTCTCAGGACTTCCACCGAGGTACAGTCCCAGCATCGCACATATTTCTAAAAATTACTCTGACAATAATTAATCAAACGCATACGCCACCATGTATTACAACCCTGTTCATTTTGGACACTACTACAGAGTTGGGCAAAAATTTTAGTCAAACATTTTATTCACCCAGTAAATAAATATCTATTGGAGACATTTTACGGATAACAAACTTATTTACATTGCATATGGATGGAATTAAAATGTACAGATTTTGCACTCCGAATGCGCCATTTTACAAATCAAGTCTTTCTACGAAGTTTCTTTAAGCAGTTCTAACAAAATAAATATTTATATTCTCTTTAAAAAAAGATATATACAATGACGAAAATTGATTACGCTAGAGTTTCCTTAAGCCTTTCTAACAAAATAAATATTTATATTCTCTTTAAAAAGAGACATGTACAATGACGAAAATTGATCACTCTAGAAGTTGTTCAAGTCTTCGCGGCCATCAAAGCGTCAAGAGTCACCTGTTGCACGAGGAGATCACGCGCGAAACACCCACACAGTTCATGCCCGCGAGCAAGACCCGCCTTTTCACAGACGAGCCTCGGCGTACAAAGGTGACCGAAGAAGCACACGCGGGGCAACCGTGGCCCTAGCGCATTTCAGGGACTCTTTGTGCCCGGAGGGTGCAGTTCCGACCGCCGCTATATTCCACCTCGAAACGGGAATAAGTCCTCGACGTCGCTCATCTTCCTACGCTTTGATGCGTGAAACGTACCACCATGATACGAAGTGACTAATGTCGATGATGCACGCCGGGTCTCACGCCAGCCTCGTCCATCGACTGCGGGACGTTCCTATGGGGGTGAAAGAAAAAAAAGAAAAAAATATAGACGTTTATTGTGATCTCGATCGGGGAATCTCGCGACCGGTCATGTGGGCACGTTAATTCCTAGGTCTCGCCGTCATAATTGCGCTCCTCTGCCACCTATTCACCCTCTTTATGTACCCTCGAGATGGGGGTTGTTTAGGGTTGGCCGGAGATGGACGAGACTTCATACGTTTACCATTAAACACTCTGCATATTCGATTCTAATTTTCATT